CTGTGTTGCTGTTCCAGGCGATGCAACAATAGTGATGGTGTTGCCAAAGGTGGATAATTAATGAATATTATCCGGATTATTCTGTTCCAGGCGATGTTAGTTCAGACTCTACGGTGTCAGTGCTACATGAAATATACTAAATTTTTTCACCTGTTTACCCATGAGTAAATAAAAGGTTAGTGATTTTTAAAGTATAAGCTTACGTGCGAAATGCTAAATTCTGCTTTTCAGAAAGCACTATAGCCCCCTGGAAATGCTTTGGTTCCATTTGACAAGCTGGTTGAAGGCTTTTTGAGGTAGTAATAGCTTGGAAAGGGTATTGTGGACTGAAAATGAGCTTTTGTTTTGATTGGCAGTTGTAATTTACTTGTTTAATGATTGTTAGAATATATATTTCTTCTTCATTTTTTTTTTTTGGTTGTTAGAATATATATTTTTAATTTATTAATTAAAAAAATATGAAGAGTTTGTGGTTTTACTATTTAAATTGTATTAATTTATAAAATCAAGACCATCGGACTGTTAGCTCCTATATTAAGGGACTCTTGTTTCAATTATATGATAATTAATTAATTTAGTACAATTTAAATTTTATGAAATGTTTTAGGTAAAATCTTACCTTAAATCTCTAAACTTATTTTAGATTATTAATTAAGTTTCTAAATTTTTATTAAAGCAAATAAATTTTCAAAATCGATGATCTGACTAATTTAATTTCTTTTTTTATAATGAATTAAATGCCCATTTATGTATCATTTATATGAATAAAATATTAATATATCATTATCTATAAGATGGGTATTAACTTTATCTATGTAAGTAATGTGCAAATGAATATTATGTTTGTCTAAAAAAGAATTAAATTGTTTAAATTGATAAATTTAAAATTTATTTACTTAAAAAATATATTTAAAAACTTAATTACAAATCTATGGTAAGTTTGGGGACTTAATAAATAAGTTCTTGCCAATATTTTATATAAAACAGGTTGAAAAAAATCCCAAAGTAAAATTAAAAAATGACAGGCACATATGTTGACAATAACAGGCCCATCTCTCTCTCTCTCTCTCTCTCTCTCTCTATAATGCATTGAGTGAGCCCGCCAAAGGAGTAAACGGTTAACCCATGATCTTACAGCAGTGGGAGTGTGGGACTGTGTGGAGATTCTGGTTCCAGATTGGGTGACATTTAGGGCCTGTTTGATTAGTTTTCCAGGCCGGATTGAGTTGCCAGGAGGATTGTTGTGCCAAGCAGATTGTGCCAAGCAGATTGTGCTGCTGGGTGAAAAGTTATGCAACATTTCTGTATGTGGTTGTTTGTAAGAAAAATGATTTTTTAGTTATTAAAGTCAACTATATAGAAAATATAATTGGTTATATGTCTTTTGACTCTGATATAATTGGTGTATTATAATTATAATTAGTTATAAATTAATATATAATTAATTATAAATTAAAA